GTTAGTGAAAGTTTAGGAAAGTTCAGTGACCGTTTTTGAAAGTTTTGAACTTCAGTGTCCGTTTTATTATTTTGATGTAAGTTCAGTGACCATTTGTGAAATTAACCCAATAAAATTCACTTTGATTTATGAAACTTTGAACATTTTTATTTAAAATAATAGAACTCATTTGAATTCTCTCGTAAGAGATGAAGAATCGATCCCTACCCATGGTAAAAAAAATTATGGGTTCCCCAAAATTTGGTAAAATCAACATGTTTTTGCTTTTTTTTTATTTGTTTTATGAATATAAATTATTAAAGGTATACGCGTGAGACATGATCTACTAATTAATCTAATTCTTAATCTATTTCTTTCAAATACTACTATAAACATATCAGTGACCTCATTTTATAATACCTCGAGACCTAATAGAACTATTTTAGTAAAATTTAATTATCTCAATTACCAGGGGATCGCACCAAAAATTCTAGTTTCTTTTGGATATCCTTATGATCCCTACGTAACTAAAAATATTTTATGAAAATAAAAAAAAATTAGTTATCTTAATTAAATAAATAAATAAATAATCAAAACATATTATTTATATAGACCCTGTTTGGCAAAGATTAAAATTTTAATTTTAATATAATTCAAAATTAACAATTAATTTTAACTACATATTTATGAGATTCATAACTTTATAACTATACATTTTATCAACATTTTATTAAAATTTGTAAGAAATCTAATTTTAATCATTACAAAATTGGGGCAAAATAATTCAAGCATTTTTTGATAGAAGAAATAAAGAAATATCACAGCTTTAAAAAATAAATAACTAATCAATATATTTAAAATTTAATTATAAATTAATTTTTTTAATATAAAATTTAATTATAAATTGATCTTTTAAATAAAAAATTGGATGATGAAAAAGAAAAAAATATTATAAAAAATTTTAATTATAGTTTAATCTTTTTTGGTAGAAAATGAAGACAAATAATAAAAAGAGAGAAAAGTGAAATAGGGCAAATATAATAAGTAGAAGAAAAAATAACGAACTTTGAATCAAGGCTTTAAGGTTTTTGATGGGAAGAAAAGATGGAATATTAGAAGGACAAAAAATATATATTAAAAAAATCTTTGGTGAAAGTCTCCCAAAATCCCGTGATGAATGAGAGATTTTTTTATTTTTTTATTTTTAAATTTTTTTACTTACAAGTTAGTACCTAAAAGACTTCTATAAAAAAAAAATTTAAAGTCATTAATATTTTGAATAACGTGTGACTAATAAAGACTTCTCAACAGTTTTAACTGAATACGTCAAAATTTTTAAAGATTTTTTAAAGCCCTACAAAAGTTTCTATCAAATACAATAATACGTTTAGAAAGTCTAACAAAGTCTGCATTGAATATCCCTAATTTTTTTAAATCCTTGAAAATTACTAAAACTTTTTAAAAATCTCAATTAAATACCCCCTTAAATAAACTTTCTTACCATGGCCAAAAATAATATTTATCTTTATCTGTAGGGTAATTTTTTTCACATCTCACAATTTATCCCTTCATTTTAATTATAATAGTCTCCCAACATTTATAAGAATAGCATATATCGAAAGGTTGTTCATGGGTCTCCTTTGCAAGTGCATAGTCCAAAAGACATTTCGAATTAACTCACTAGAGTAGGAGCATGATTATTTATTGGTATACAACAAAGAGACTCACCTCAGCCAATGCAACATATAGAGGTTGAATCTCCATGATCAATGAGGTGTCACGATCTGTTGTAGTTTGTTTTTCGAAGTGATAAAGCACTTGATTCCACGAGATATATATCTTCCCTAGCTTTACCTTATCTAAGAGATCCTTTATGCGAGATTTCATATAAGGTTGATTGATTTGACATCTCTACATCAGAAGCCTTTTAATCAACATGTCAATCAACTTTTCCATTTGTCAGACCAAAATCAAAAGATGACCACTTTTCAAAATCATTAAATGTCATATGTGTTAGTCCAAGAATAACTAACAAAAAGGGGGGTGAATTGGTTTTTTAAATTGTTTTGAAGAATTAATCTACATTCAAGCAAGTAAAGATTAAATAGATTAATTCAAATAGTAAGCACAATATAAAAGCGATAAGTAAAAGGGCGAGAGGATGCAAACGATACATTTGTGGAGGTTCGATCCCAAGCAATTATCTACGTCCCCCGTTACCAAGCTCTCCGGCATGAGCATCTGGTAAAGTGATACAACTAAACTTTTATGGTGCAGTCCAACCCTTTACAACGCTTTCGATGATTTACAAATAAGGAGCACCGATCCTTATACAAGTTGATCTTTAAGGGACTTCAACACGACCCACACTTTATCAAAGTAATTTTACAATGAAATTCATCTCTTGATAAATAATACAAACAAATTAAGTACTAAGAGAGGCTAACGATTCAATGAATAATAGTAATGATAGCTCAAGTGTTAGATAAAAAGTTTTAATGAATATGATAGTCAAAAATTAGATTCAATTAATCACTGTGTTTCAATGAGAAGATGCAGAAATAAATATAATGTA